AAAAATAAATATATGAATTTTTAATCTTACTTATGAACTTGTCCGTGCCTTCCCTGCATCCTGCGGACCCCGTTACCACGTGTATGGGAGCTCTGGAAATACAAATCAACAAATCAGCTATATTAATATATTTCTTTCATAACAGAAGAATTGCAATCAAGCAAATGACCCTTCTCATAGGAAACGGCATAGACTTTAGATAGATAATCGTTGTATCAAAGGACATAACTCTCATGTCACTTACCATAACCAAAAAAAGTACCATAAAATGGTAAAGTAACTAATTTTATTGAAATTTTAATGAATATTTACGCTGATTAAATGAATGTGTAATGTGTAGGCTGATGATGATGATGATGATGATAAATGAATGTGATATCAAGTGATTTATTTTATCAAACCAGTGTTAAGTCTTGTACAATGGTTCCCAAGTGGGCGGTTCGCTGGTTTTTCAAGTAAAAAAATACAGTAGAATCCGTTTATTATGACTCCGCCTATATTGACCAACCGCCTATTATGACGTAATTACATAACGAAGTTTGGTTTTCATATAAAATTCATTGTAACAATGAAATGAAATGAAATGTCATTTATTCAGTCTAGGCTGTTACAAGCACTTGTGAAGGTCAAGAAGCTACGCCATCGGTTCGCAAATCTACGGCGGGAGACCTTGTACTGAGAAGAACCGGCAAGAAACTCAGCAAGGGCTGTTTTTTTCTCCCTGTATTGTTATATACAGTTTCGTCAAGTTGAAAAATTACTTCAGAAATACGTCTGAAGTCACTTTCCATTACATCATCTAGAATATAAATATGTAGTTACAATTAATTTTATAGTTAACATTTTAAGTAGTATATAGGAAGCGGCATTAGATAGGTACAATATTACTGTTATGAAAAATGAGTAATACCCATTTAATATCAAATTATAAGAAACACTATGTCCATGCATTACGATCATTTAGATAATCATCAACTTTATAATAGCCCTTATTCATAAGAGTATTTTTGATCTGAGATTTAAATTTAGTCTATTTAGTTATTTAGTGGAAGCTCAATCAGATCTTGGGGAACTTTGTTAAACAATGCAATACTACAACCCAGAAATGAACCTCTTGATTTTTGGAGTCGATGTCGGATATAATGACTTCGCTTACAGTGATATGTCGCTTATTATGACCCATTTTTAATCAATTTTGCCCGTTTATAGTGACTGAGTGAGTAGTATGAGTGACATGGTTCTTTACACCTACGGTAATGTTCGTTGATTCAAATTGAACATCAAGCATTGTTTTTAGTGATGTGCTATGTAAAAAAATGTCATCTCAACGTCGTAAAGCATTTACGACTGAGGAAAAAGGTGCAATAATATGCTGATTAGAAAATTTAAAATCAAACTCATCTCACAATGTTTTTTCACAAAAATGCTTTGTATGACGTCCGCTTAGTATGACGTGTTTGTCGATTCCCTTGGAAGTCATAATAAACGGATTGTACTGTAGATAGGAATAATTTGGTTAGGCTGCCTCAAGCGTTAAAATAAAAAACAGATTTGTTTCTTAGGTTTTCACGCACATCACTCATTAAATAAAACTAGTTTAAACGGGGTAATGCACGAAACTTTATTTATTTATTGACGTTTCGTAGCCTTTCCAGGCTACGTCGTCAGAATAAAACTTTTGTTTAATTTGTCGAGCTACCTTCGAAAGACTTTTATTGAGCGTTTGGTTATTTCATCGTTCGATTTTTAAGTTTTATTGTCTATGTATGAATTTATTATTTAATTTACTTAATAAAGTATTTTATTTAAAAGACAATAAAACTTAAAAATCGAACGATGAAATAACCAAACGCTCAATAAAAGTCTTTCGAAGGTAGCTCGACAAATTAAACAAAAGTTTTATTCTGACGACGTAGCCTGGAAAGGCTACGAAACGTCAATAAATAAATAAAGTTTCGTGCATTATCCCGTTTAAACTAGTTTTTTTTAAAAAACAGATTTCCTAAAGGCCATCTGCACCAATATGCTTAAAACGAATTCAAGCAAACCTGTTGAAAACCACTCTTTGTTTCAATTACAAAAATGCTCCAGCAAAATAGCTTGTAATGTTAGTTCATAGTAGCATAAATAAAAACAAAGCTTTAAAAAAGAAAAAATATTTACCTTGACAGTTATATGGTAAAATATTGCATTGTTAGTAGAATATGCATTCAGCGGCACGCCCGTTTTATCGTGTTAAAAATAAAAGTACACCAATGCAATTTTCGAAAGCACAACAACACAAGCGTAAATTTTATTTACCGTAAATAAAAGAAATGCAAACGATAAACCCGACATTAATTTTAATAACCCAATGTACCAAACGTCCCAAAGTAACTGAGAACTCACATTTAGATATTGTTACCGTATGCACGGTTCCCAACTTAGGGGTTTTGCCCAGATTTAGGGGCTGGATGTGTTAAAACGGACTTTTTTAGGGGCTGGAATTTTTTGGGGGTACTTTTAGGGGCTTTTAACAAAACTTGCAATTAAATCGAAAAACAAAACGTGTGTTTTCTTTCAGTTTTGTGCGTAGAATGGAACGCACTACGATATGAAACGACTGAACTGACTGTGTGGCCTAATGCTGTATGGATTAAAGTTCTTTGCCTATCACCAATGGTTAAATAATAAAACAACAACATAACAATCATGTTCGTTCTTTCATGCGTTCACGTCATACTCACGGCTCACCATTCATTTTTGTCATTCATTCAATAAAATAATTTACTGTAACTAAATAAGAGACGTTTTAATTTATGAGCAACGAAAGAATTTAGGTAATAAGTAAGTACATATAAAAAATTATATTTAGGGGATTTTAGGGGAATTTGAAAAATACTTAGGGGAAAATTTCGGTAAGGGTTGGTAGCACTGACCGTATGTTAATGCTGGCACTTCACTCTTGGCTATTCGTATTAGTAAACTTGACATCTGTCTGTCCTTATCATTCCCCATATTTTTTATTTATTTGATCTACAAACAGGGGGCCATTCGCCTAACGGAAATGCTTTGGAAAACGCTAACGCTTACGATTTCATTTTATTATTTCTAGCCGCCTGAGGTTTTCAAATACCTCGCGCTCTTTTTTTTCTTATGCATTGGTAATAACAATATTAAAAAAAATGAGCGTCAGATATTCGAAAACCTTCGGCGGTCAGAGATAACAAAATAAAATCGAAAGTGTTAGCGTTTACCAAAGCATTTCCGTTAGGTGTATAGCCTCAGGTGCCAAATATTCAATACAAATTTATCTTCATTATCACACAAAAAACAAGGATGTAACCTTTAATATGTACGTACTGAGTGACTATACACATAATAATAAGAGAGTGCTTGACATTTTAAGCAAGCCAAATCATAAATATTTTATTTTTAATTGATTATAAGATTAATGAATTACAAAAGTGACAAATTAGCAATTAGATTTTTGTTAAATACTGAAGATCTACGATCAAATACATCTATTTCTGCTCCATTAACGACGAGTTCATTATATTGGCGACACATACGTGTTATAAAAATTTAAATATATTATAGTTATAAAAATAATATAAAGCATGATAAGGACAGACTGTTGTCAAGTTTACACATAGAAGCCAAGAGTGAAGTGCTAGCATACCATAAATTACTACAGCGCTTCAATTCACCAGCCTCTTAATGTCCCCACTACTGGGGCACAGGCCTTCTTTATGGATGGAATAGGGAGATCGGGCTATGACCACCACGCGGGCCCAGAGCGGATTGATAGGTGCTAACGACTAAAAGTGCCTTCCAAAACACGGAGGAGCTCGAGATAGTTAAGTTTTGGTCACCCATCCAATGACAGACCACTGCGAAAGTTGCTTAACTTCAACGATCGCAACCGAACGCGCGAACCATTTGCGCCATCGAGCTTTTTTTTTTATGCTAAATAGGCAATGCGTTTGACCACAATCTCACCTGATGGAAAGCGATGATGAGGCCTAGGATGGTACACGCCTGCCTAGAAGATGCCTGTTCACTCTGGCCTTGAAGATGTCCAGGTTATATTGGTCCGGGAAAACAGATCTCGGCAAGGAGTTCCACTCCCTAGCCGTTCGTATAACGAAGGCCGAAGCAAATCGCTTCGTGCGAATGGGAGGAACTTCGACAACATAAGGGTGGAAGCCCTCGCCGCGCCTGGTCGTCCGGTATACTATAGCGCGTATACCCGTTCAAATAGCATTTTATAAAGATTAACATAGAGCGCGGTATAAGACCCGTTAAGACACTTTATAGCACAACAGTAACGTAAAGAACACGAATAAAATACAAAACAAGGCAAAACAATTACAGTTGCACAAAGGGTAGTCTTATCGCTAATCAGCGATTTTTTCCAGTTAACCCAAGGAGCTGGAAAAAAAGGTTGTTGTACAATATGGAGTCGTAGAGTGGCCACGAGTCTTCAGTTAAGGCTCCAACCCAGACCCTGAACCAAGGGGGAGTGAGCTGGGCATTTGCCCAGAGCGGCAAAAATTAGAGGCGGCAAAATTTACTTAGGGTCAGCCATAAATTACGTCACTAAAGGGCGGTAAAAAAATTTGCCCGGTGCGGCAATATTTCTAGACCGGGCCCTGCCGATACCACGCCACGGCATTATAAAGCAATATATGACCCCGGGTTAGCATAAGGCGCGCCATAAAAACAAGCTTTACACGGTCAAAAGAGTAGGGGAGAAAGTATACCGCCCTGTGGAACACCAGCAGTCAACCGGATAGCTCCTGATCGCAACGAACAGCCTGCCAGCGATCACGAAGATAAGACATAAACCACTTCTGCACTAAACTAGAGAATCCTAGTCGAGAAAGGATGGTTAGGAGAACATTATGATAGACTGTGTTAAAAGCGTTTGAGAAATGAGAATTTTATTGACCATTCCAGACATCTTCAAAGATTTAAATGAGCGCAGGCCAGGGCTTTATAAAGCAATATATACTCACCGCGGGTTAACATAGGGCGCGGCATAGGACCCGTTGTATACTACGGAGTCGTAGAGCGGCCACGTGCGTTCATACGAGTGCTCGTGAGCCCACACCACTAAGTCCACGCCGAATTCCTTCAGTAACGGCTCCATTCCTGACCGGATACCACACCACGGCTTTATAAAGTCCATTTCAAATGTTTGTCTCCTTATTAATAAACGAGGAATAAAGCTTAGATTAATTGCGCCGTATTTTATTCATATCACTAACATATACGACAGTTACTAAATCCAGCCTGTCCTGTCCCATTTAAGAATTGCATTTAACAAAGTGGTAAGTTCTCATTATTTTAATAGTAAATTTAAAAAATCGCGGCTTCCGGGACCTAGAGTATGGTGAAAGGATGTATTATTATGTTTAACATTCCAAAGTTTGGAGGTTCTAAAATAAAGATTTTCACAGGGCTTGATATTGAGGCCTTTACTATATTATACCTATATTTTCATAAAGAGTATTTCTGAAAATGTACATTATTGCAGTTCTCTGAACTACTAGTTCAGACTAAACAAAAGTAACCTCGAAAAGTGCGGGTTAGAGTCTCCATCTTAGGTTAAATTAATAGCGTTGAAAGATATAAATAAACAGATGATACAAATGACAACTGATAAAGAAACAGTTGCTTATTAATATTTTCTGACAATTTTCTATTAATTTCATCCATTTATGAAGCTAATTTGGAAGTACTCACCGAAAAGTCCAAGGAATCCCGTCCTCGTATACTCGACGCTGCAGTCGATGTCGTCAGAGTTGCTGCAATACATGGGCCGGTGACCGAACAGGATTATCCAAGGCCTCTTACGTCTATTTCAAGAACAAAAAATACAACATTTATTTATTCAGATAAGGTTTATAAAAACAAATATTTAATATGTAAGAGATACAGACCGTCTACAGTATTTGCCGACTTACCGGCTAGCCGAATAATCGGTTTTAAAATTGCAGTCTACTCGGCCGATTAGTCGACAATGCTGATCATTAGGTATTAGTATTTGCAGATAGGCACCGATACGAAAACACCGCACTATCACTTTGTCACATTAGAATATGTAATATTTTTGTTTGAAACATATTTAAATGATGATGAACCTATTTTTTAATGTGAAAAACCGATTGGGTAAAGTGGTAATTTAATTTTCTTATTAGAAAACTTTAAAAAGAAGATGGATTATGTCGTTATGACGCGATCAAGAGAAATAGGGATCCTACTAATATAATAAATGTGAAAGACCTTCTTATTTTGTATTTTGGTACAAATTATCCCAAAAAAATCGAAAATTATACTTAAAAGGACTCACTTACAAAATCTCAAACAAATTCAATAAAAAATTCTGAAATTAAGTATTAAAATAGGAAATCTAGAGTATAAAGAAACGTTATATCTAAGACGCAATTTTACACTGACTGAATTTTTGGTTTATTTGGTTTTAATTCATTGCCTTTAGTTTGTGTTTTTATTGTGTTTAGTTGTATCAAAAATCACGCAATTTCCGTAGCTAACTATTATGAACCCTAGAGATGCACATTTCTGACATTTCCCATAATATTTTATCTGAGTTGCCACTAATTTAAAAGTTTAAACGACATTTTTATGTGGTACAAGTGGATAATGAGCTACATCTATATATATAAAACTCAAAGGTGACTGACTGACATAGTGATCTATCAACGCACAGCCCAAACCACTGGACGGATCGGGCTGAAATTTGGCATGCAGGTCGATGTTATGACGTCGGCATCCGCTAAGAAAGGTTTTTGATCAATTCTACCCCCAAGGGGATAAAATACAGAAGCGAAGCGAGGGCGGGCCACTAGTTTTTTTTATATATAGCCAGGTAGGCAAGTGACTCTACCCCACCTGATGTTAAGTGGTGATAAAGTCCAAACGCGAAGACAGCTGGTACAGCAGCTATAAACGTTATTTATATTTTTGTTTATTTTGGCGTATTGTTCTACACATAAATGCATGATAATTCTTGGGGTACAAAATTGGGCGGAGTTGTATGGAGAAAAGAATGGATCCTTTGTATGTCTGTTACTCGAATCACGTACGGATTTGGGTGAATTTCGGCGTACATATTGCTTCATGTTTTGACGACCTTCGTGGCCGAGAAACCGTACGCCGGGTTTCATGGTGCCGACTCGAGGTACCGGGTTCGAATCCCGGTGGGGGCAGATGTTTGTGTGATGAATACGAGCATTTGGACTCCAGTCATGGATGTTCAATATGTATTTCTATATAAATATACTTATATATGTACAGTATATGTATTCCATCCGTTACCCTAGTATCCCATAACACAAGCCTTACTGTGCTTACTTTGGGGCTAGGCTAATTGGTGTGTGTTGGAAATATATTATTATTTTCCCGATAGAAATATAGGAAACTTATTATCCCGGAAAAATATCGCTCCTGAAGGGTTCCCTAAAAATTAAAGTTAACCGGACTAAGTTGCGGGCGGTCGCTAGTCACACTAATATTATAAGGGCGAAAGTTTGTGAGTGTGTATGTTTGTCTTTACATCTAAACGGCTGGAGCGATTTTAATAAAAGGACATGGCTAAGAAACTGCCCTTAACGTGTATAAATATTTCTCACTAGCCCGTAACTTTACAATATTTTTTTATGAATTATTATGTGTTTTATTTATTTAATTATTCTCATACAACTTTCGTGAAATAATCAAATATTTAAAAGTATAAAAATTAACTTCATGTCTGTTTAAAAAACAAAATGTTCCGTTTTACAAAATAAATGAACAATAAATGTATACAAAAAATATTAGTGTAAGTATATCGAAATAAATAATATTATTTCTAAAGTCCTTCAAACTATGACACATTTGGCCCTAATTTTTATTATAAAAAATTACTGAAAGCCAAAAATTTATTTTTTTGATCAGGCTTGAATCAAGGCTGTATGATAATTTATCCTTTCATTTTTGCAATGGGCAAAATAAAACTTCTCAGATTTCCTGTCAGGCCGACGATAACAAATTATTTGTATTTATTGTTGCTTAAAAAAACTTTTTGTGAAGTGTTAATCACAGAAATGGTAAGAAAGATACAAAGAAAATGCGAAATTGATGTCTCTGTAAATAATTGGCAAAATCTTTTATCAAATGTAGTAAGGTAATGACATAGTAGGAGTTCTCATAATTTCCAAGATTGTGACTGTATCAAAAGTTCCTGAGCCTTTTTTCATAGAAATTATAAACATTCAGTCATTTACCATTAAATATTACTAAGTATAGTATTTATACATTGCCAGGGCAGTCGCTCATGCAAAACTTTACCAAGTCCTTTGGTATGGAGTTAGCTGCCACACTGGATTATCCAATAGGCTACGTTTTACTGCGGGAACATATCCCTAATAAGCCGCGGGTAACACCGCAGGGCACAGCTAGTCATGAATAAATGTTCTGACCTGTTAATATCCATGTTCGCGACAGTGAGGTCTCTCTTCAGCCACTCGTACTGTTCCACCATCAGCTTGATGCCATACTCGGTGAAGTAGTACACCTCAGTGGATATGGACACGAAGTGGATGGGGCCCACGTCGAAGCTGTAGTACAGGTTCGACTCCGGGCCCGGCATCGTGAACCGGGACGAGTAGTGGCTGAAGTTGCTGGTAAGAGAGTTATTTGTTTCTTAGGTTTTCACGCACATCACTCATTAAATAAAACTAGTTTTTACGGGTTAATGCACGAAACTTTATTTATTTATTTACGTTTTTGTTTGCATAATTTAACATAAGAAGGAGATAGAAAGCCTCTCTTGAGTTTGTTTCGCCGGTTCTTCTTAGAAAGGTCACCCAATTTTGGAACCGGTGGTAGTTTACGGTAGTTAGGGTCAAATAAATAAACTCAAAATTACAAAAAAGAATTTGAAATAAAATACTTTATTAAGTAAATTAAATAATAAATTCATACATAGACAATAAAACTTAAAAATCGAACAATGAAATAACCAAACGCTCAATAAAAGTCTTTCGAAGGTAGCTCGACAAATTAAATAAAAGTTTTATTCTGACGACGTAGCCTGTAAAGGCTACGAAACGTCAATAAATAAATAAAGTTTCGTGCATTAACACGTAAAAACTAGTTTTATTTAAAGAGAGTTATGTTCAAGCATTTTTGTGTCCGAAGAGAGAAAACGGAATTAAATAGGTACCTAGTTGAATATACACATACACACACAACACACAGTTACACACACACACACAAAACACTCAAATACATACACGCGTATCACCAATGTATTCATTCTTTTTAGTTTTTATTTGTTTGTATTTTTAGGCCGTAAATATATTATAAATTGTTTACTTCCCCCATAGGACGGGCTTCGCCTAGTATGAGTGACTGTTATATTATTTTGTAAAACAGTTTATGATTAAATGGATTATTATTATTATTACTAGCAAACCAGTGAACCATATGTTCACCCAAAAAAAAAATGTATTTAATTAATTGAGACCTTCGGAGATTTTGTGTGGTTTCGTTTGAAATAGAAATCACGTGATTTCTCGAAAACCGGAAGTGCTACGTTACTCAAATCCGGTTTGTAGTCTTATCAGACTATTCTTAACTTATAACTTAAACATTCTCTTTATCTATCTCTTACGGTTTGGCCGCTGAAACAGCACCACGGACGGACGGACTTGTCTATTAGATAAGAGATTACCTACAGTACGACAAGGGTCTTTATGAATGTGAGTGACAGTTCAAGGAGGGCGGCACTTTTTTTAGAAAATGACATCAACGATATTAAGTCCCCTAGATACCCACACGTTCAAGTCAATGTGGAGTGCAGTCGATGTCGATGGCGCAGGTGGTCAGCGCGTTCGGCTGCGATGGTTGAAGTTAAGCAACTTTCGCAGTGGTCGGTCATTGGATGGGTGACCAAAAACATCTATCTCGAGTTTATCCGTGCTTCGGAAGGCACGTTAAGCCGTCGGTCCCGGCTGCATCTGCAGTCGTTAGCACCCACCAATCCGCACTGGGCCCGCGTGGTGGGTCATGGCCCAATCTCCCTATTCCATCCATAGGGAAGGCCTGTGCCCCAGCAGTGGGGACATTAATAGGCTGATGATGATGATGTATCGATATATCGAATCAAAATATATCGGCAAAAAATATCGATATATCGATACATCGATATATGTTCAACAAGCCTTTGGTTTACTAACTAGGCGCTCTCGTGGTTCCCGGGGCAGGTCATGTATGGCACGGCGGCGGCGAGGGGCTGCAGCAGATTCATGAAGTCGTCTCCCACGCGGCCCTCCTGCTCGTTCATGTCGTAAGCGAAGTCCCCCACGTGGAGGATCAAGTCGTACTTGCCTTGTTCCACGTCGCGTTTTAAGAACGGCAACGACTGTACAGACAGATATGCGTTATCAATAGACTTGCAACGAATAGTATATTCGGGAGTATACCGAATATTCGGCGAGGATCCTGACCGAATAGCCGAATATTAGGTAAAAGTATTCGGCTGGATTTAAGCGCCAAAAACTTGTACAGACGTGATTGTTTCGCGCTCCTTTGTTTTGTTCTAATCTGCCGCCCTCTAATAATGACAAAACCAACATTTAAAATATTGCAAAAAGCGCGCGTAAACTTTAAATTATTGCTATTATGTAACCATTCATCACATGACTGAATGAATTAAAACTGTTAACTTGTTAAATACAGAAAATGATTAAATTATGTACCTGTTTTATGTACAAATGACTACTTAATAAATTATTATAAAAGAAATGAGAACCTGACCCTTCTAAATTTTGATTAAGTACCACAATAATTCAAATACAGAATCCTCCATTTTTCCAATTCAGAAGATGATTATGTACCCGTGTTATGTACCAATGACTACTTAAATGATTATATAACAGAAATGAAAATCTGAATTTTTCATTTAACTAATTATTTCTCTATAACAAAATATATTATTTAAGTATTCGGTATTCGGCCGAATAATATGTAGATACTCGGTATTCGGTCGAATATAATAAAAGCAGCCGAATATGCCGAATACCGAATAGTAACCGAATATTCGTTGCAAATCTAGTTATCATCGTTATTAAGCTATTTAAATGAGAAAAGATGTGGTGCTGGCGAAGGATGGAAAGAATAAGTTGTACAGAGAAACTAACAAATGAGAGGGTATTGGACATTATGGATGAACGGAGAACTTTGCTGAACACACTAGAGGACAGAAGGGGAAGAATGTTCGGCCACCTTGTGCGACACGACGAATTCATAAAGAACATCATTGAGGGAAAGTAGAAGGAAAGAGAGGATGGGAAAGACCGAGGATTGCCTACATGAAGCAAATCAAGGAAAAGGTTGGCGTCGAGTCGTACAGGGAGCTCAAAGAGTTGGCGGAGGATAGAGGGAGATGGATACATAGACTGCACCGACAAGAGCATAGCTCTTAAATTTAGAGAGAGAGAGAGAGGATGAAGTTACCTCTTAGATTAAAACAAAAAGGGAAGATACGACACTCAAAAGTGATCCGCTTAAATTGTGGTGAATGACCACAATTCGCTTTAGTCACAATTGGACATTCAAACATGCTGCATGTGCACTCAATATAACAATATTGCGTATATTCTGTGTTATAAAGATAAAACAATGCCTTCGTTGCTTTTATGAAGAACACAAATAGTCCAAGATCAAATAACAATTTCACAGCAACACTTTTCATTCGTAAAACTATGAAATCTTTTTTTCTCGAAAATCACGTTTATGAAAGTTATTTACTTTTTCGCCATTTGTTATCAAGAAAAGGACAACATTACAGTTCAGCCGTTTGTAGAGAGAAAAAAAAACGCAAGCCAGTCCTCAATGCAAGCGAAACGTACTCGCCGTTTCGCTCGCGCTGCGTTGAAGCGTACAGTATCCCTAACACGAACACGAACCATTATCGAATTCGAATAGTTTGCAAACCGAAATGTCAATGTCAAATTTTGTATGGAAACTTGAACAGCAGCGGCACAAAGTACTCGTACGTAACAAGAACTGTAAATCAGTACACATTTGACAATGACACTTCGGACTCGCAAACGATACGAATTCGATATTGGTTCGTGCTAGGGGTACAGTTCTGTCTCGCTCGCTCGATTGAATGTTTATTTACAGAAGTGTGCGAGTGTGTGAGTTGCTTATGTAGTTGAGTCGAGCATATTTTATTTGATGCTGGTATGAGCGTACCGTATCTTCCCTTTTTGTTTTAATCTAAGAGGTTCCTACATTTTTAGAAAAACTAATGCATAATGCCGGCACTTTACTTGGATATTCGTGTTTGCTATTTATAAACTTGACATCGGTTCGTTTAAAATTGTTTAAGTATGAGAGACAAATTTTCACTAATGGGACTAATAACATGGAAATTAAGCGGCTAGCGATTAAAGAAGACATTAAAATTGTGCATTTAGGGCCTGTGCACACCACGTTTTTTAAACTCGCCGTCGACGCACCTTTTAGAAACATACGTCGTCGGCGTTTTATCGATCGTCCACCCCCCGCATCACCGAGACGTCAACGAGAACGAGACGACGGCGCCGAAGTAGCATTACATACATTGCTACAGTACATTTACTATAGCCGTTAATGTCCACCGTAAGCCCGTCACGACATCATGATCACCTACAACAATAATCTCGTTCTCTTTAATGTCCCGACGACGGTCGCGGTGGACAAATGACCTAAGGATCGCGTCTGTATTATGCGATTGAAATAAGACTTTTTTTTTTTTTTTTTTTTTTTTATAGTTAGGTCCGACAAATGACTCCACCCCACCTGATGTTAAGTGAAGGTGAAGTCCAGACGCGAAGATAGCCGGCCTGCATGCTGCTTCTTCACGCCTCTTTTAAAGGATCCCAGGTTGTAAGAGGGAGGGAACACGTGAGCGGGCAGAGCATTCCATTTACGGATAGTGCGACAAAGAAATGAGTCACCAAATTTCTTTGTACGCGTTGGAATTGTGGCCACAGTAAAACGGTGACAACGTAGGCCAGCGCGCGTGGTCCTCTGAAGGAAAGGGGAAGGTGGGATAAGAGAGAATAACTCCTCAGAACACTCGCCGTGGTACAAACGATAGAACGCGCTTAGTGACGCCACGTCACGGCGTAATTGAAGAGGCTCAAGGTGTTTAGTCACCTCCTCATCGCCTATGATGCGGATCGCGCGCCGCTGTAACCTATCCAAAGCATCGAGCAAGTACTTGGCGGAGCCATCCCAGAGGTGCGAGCAATATTCCACGCAGGACCGCACTTGCGTTTTGTACAACAAGCACAGTTGATCGGGCGTGAAAAAACGCCGCACCTTGTTCAGGACTCCGAGTTTGCGTGAAGCTGTTTTGATCACGGTTTCGATGTAGTCCTTTGGATTCAGGTCTGAGCGAACTTCCATACCGAGCATGGAAATGTTGCTCTGCAGCGGTAGTGTTGTGCCCTGAAGAGATGGAAGGGGAAGGAATGGCGATGTTTTTGCCGTGAAAGCGCAAGCCTGAGTTTTCTTGGCATTGAACCCAACCAAGTTCCTGGTACCCCATTCGGAAATGTGTTCCAAAGCCTGATTGAGTTCAATGACAAGATTTTCCCGTTTCTCCCTGGTTACTGCATGCCCAGCCGCTGCTTGTCCGAGATACCCCGCATGCACTGTACTATCGTCTGCATAGCAATGAATATTCCCAAGAGGAATCAGGTCATTGATATGCAGCAGAAAGAGAGTGGGGGATAGGACGGAGCCCTGGGGAACGCCGGCATTCACTGACATGAACCGCGAACTGCTACCATCCGTAAGGACACGAATTCTACGCTCATGCAGGAAGTCAGCTACCCAAGAACAGAACTGGGCTGGCAGACCGTATGCCGGAAGCTTGGAGAGAAGGCTTTTGTGCCAGACCCTGTCGAACGCCTTGGCAATGTCAAGGCTGATAGCCAACGACTCGCCACGCTTGTCGATAGCCTCACCCCAGATATGAGTTAAGTACGCTAGAAGATCACCCGTCGATCGTTTCGGTCTAAATCCATATTGACGATCATTAATCAGGGAGTGATCCTCTAGGTAGCGGGTCAGATGGTTATTAAGGACCTTTTCTAGAACTTTACATAAAACTGAGGTGACTGCTATTGGCCGATAGTTTGCCGGGTCCGAGCGATCCCCTTTTTTGGGTACCGGTTGCACGTTAGCATCTCTCCAAGTCTCCGGCACACGCCCCAAAGAATACGAGCATTGGTACAAGCGCGTGAGCACGGGACACAACTCCGCTGCACATTTTTTAAGTACTACTGCTGGGATGCCATCAGGTCCACTAGCTTTCCGGACGTCGAGTGATTGCAACTCGGCACGAACCTCACGCTGCCTGATTTTAATATCAGGCATCGTTGTGCCACAGTGAGGTAATGATGGTGGCAGTGCATTGCAATCATCGATTCGGGAGTTAGCCGCAAAGAGTTTTGCCAGTAAATCGGCTTTCTCCTGCGGCTTATGAGCTAGTGTTCCGTCTGGGCATCTCAGAGGTGGCAGCGAGGGCAGGCAGAAGTTTTTTTGCACGGCCTTAGCCAAACGCCAGTAGCTACGGGAGCCCGCAGGATGCGTTATAAGTTCCTGGCCAACACGTGCAACACGCTGGGCATCCGCTCTGATGTAAGCCTTCTTACAGGCCTTGGAAGCAGAATTGTAGGCTGCTTTGAGTGAATCGACCCCGGGATCCTTGAGAGCGCGGCCTCTGATCCAAGCACGATATGCCGCTTGCTTACGCGAAGCAGCTTCAGCACAGTCGTGATTGAACCAGAGGTTACGTGTGCCCTTACTGATGAGATCAGAATGAGGAATATAGTATTCCATACCCATTATGATCTCCTCAGTGATGGCAACGGCACTGCCCGATAGGTCCCTGTCACTGAAGCAGCGCTGCTTCCAAGGGACGGACGCAAAGTAATCACGCATACCGTCCCAATCTGCTGTTATATACCATAACTATTACTTGCATATTCCTCCACTTATTGCATCATCATTTGCGCATCACGCCACCATCATACGATCCTTACGATCACATGATGTTTTCCTCTAAATTAAATATGAGACCCTTTGTCCTCCATCATATTGCGTATGACATGGCCACCCAAATTGCCACCATAAAATAGTTGATTACTCGACACCGATCATTAAAGCTCATTATCGCTTCTCATTAGAAACCATTAGAACTTCAGATAATCTACGGTGACTCGATATCACCTTATTCTTTCGCGGAACATTCGCAATTCGGCAACACGTGAGCACTTGTTTACACCTTCCTATAAAAGCCCCAAATCCCTCGGGACCAAGACAGTCTACATCAGATACTCGCCTCAGGCACTCATCAAGACT